CTTTCAGTCTTCTTGCTTACAGCTTTCAATCTTCCATCTGATATCCTCAGTCTTAGTGTTTCTGGCTCTCAGTCTTCCATCTCCGTACCCTTGTCTCTGCAGCCCGGGACGGCCCCATCTCCCGTACCCTTGTCTCCGCGACCCGGGACGGCCCCATCTCTCGTACCCTTGTCTCTGCAGCCCGGAATGGCCCCGTACACAAAGTTATCACAACTCTTTTACCGATGTTTGTCCAATCATGGTGCGGACATTAGATCACCTGGTCGAAATCATGCTGGGTTCACGTGAACACGTCATGGGGTGTACGTGCCTCAGCACACATACACATTGTCCTTAAGACCCCTGTTATCTGGTGCTTGTTATTTTGTAAGGTGGGATCATCAGTACATTCCTTTTAAGTGACTGGTTATTTCTTATCGGTATCCTGGGATGGTACCGAGGTCCTCTGGTTTAAGCAACTTGCTCGTTAGCTGCTATTCTTGAGGGTTGCCTTCTGTCGGTTGGCCCTGTCAGAATCTAGCGACTTATTGCTGAGTCAAGATCCTTTGTCGATTGGTACCTTGGACCGTTACCTCTGTGGGCTTGTTGTCATTTACTGATAAGAGGTGACCCCCTGCCCTTTTTCAAAGCTGTCCGTTATTCTTTCAAAAACAGAGAAAACCAGATGTGTCCTATCCCATGACTGTCAGTCCATTTGCCTCCCACACTTAACTTAAAAGTTAACCCATTCACAACATCTATTGATTCTAGCAGTATACAAAAAGTGTATATTCTAACAACCTGCGCCAATCCCACCCCTTTAAAAATGGTAATCATCAGCCCTATCCTTAAATAAACCCTCCCTGGATCCATCTCTGCTCTCAAATTACCTCCCCATCGCCAACCTCATTTTCCTTTCCAGGGTCCTCGAAACGAGTTGTTGCTTTCCAGCTTCACTCCTTCCTCTCCCGCCACTCCCTTCACGAACCCCTCTAATCAGGTTTCCGTGCCGCCCACACCTCACATCGCAGGCCGCCGAGACCCTCATGTGTGCATTCATAACATCCAGGCTCGACTATGCAAGCTCCTTGCTTGTCTGCCTCACCAACTCCTCCCTCCATAGGTTGCAGATCATCCAGTACTCTGCAGTCTGTGTCCTCTCCTGCACCGGCTCCGTAACCCTCGACAATCATGGCTTGATTCTCACCCAGCCTCGACATTCCACTTAAGCCTCTCCCATGCTGTGTCCCTTCAGCACATCCATAAATGCCTTGTCTTTAGCCAAATAGAACCAAAGTAACTTAAAAACACTTGTGCTATAAGTTCACACCCATCTATGAAAGGTTACTTTTAATAGCCACGAAGTTTGCTGATCAGCTTACAGAACCTTGGCTCAAACATGCGTTCACTGTTGCCATAGAGCCAGACCTGTGATATGTATATGGAATGTGCCTACGCTGGTTGCACTGGGATGTTCAGCTGGATGCTGAAGCTACTCCAGTGTTGTTTGCCAGGCTTTTGTTTGTCCAATATTTGGACGGCTATTTATTTGCTCAGTGCCGAATCTCGTCATCCTCATTCCCTTGTCAGTTTCTGAAGGTTGAAGTCCAGGATAAACTCCTGCCTTCTGTCCTCCATTCACCTTGCTTTTCATACTCCAGATGCAGTATTCCAAAATATGTTGCCATATCGCAAATAAAAACTGACCCAGAACACCGATGGGCTCTGTAAATAAATGCAGTCTGAATCCTGGATTTGCTTTACCATCTCTATTAGCAATTAGACACCACCATTGTTGGACACTCAAGACCGTAAATCTCCAGAGTACTGGCTTTGTTGTTCCTTTTATCACCAGTAGCTTTTATAGCATGAAATCTCAATGTTTTCAGTAAATCAGGAGGCCATTCAGCCATGGTGTTTTTGCAGCAGCCACTGTATTCGCAGCTGAGTTGCACAACTGTGTTCTTGTTTGAGAATTGTGCATTAAGAAGTCTTTCTTTAAATATAAATGTTTGCAGTCCTCCAGAACAGACTGTTAAATTGGATGTGGGTGAATATTGGATACCCCCGTGAATTAACAGTACAGTGATCTAACCCGTGCTGCTCATTAACACTAGCAAACCTTTTAACCACACTTATAATGAAAAATGAAAATCCCATTATGAAAACGGGTTTGCTGGAGTTCATTAAGCAGCGGATTGGACCCCACAGAGGTACAAGATTAAACTCCAAAGCATCAGATAAGCTCTGCAGAGGATTCAGAGAAGCAAATCTGAAGAACACTATACAATAATAATAGTAATACACAACAATAATAATACACAAGTAGATTTATGTCAAACATTCCAGGAGAAGTGCAAAGTTGCTGCAAGTACAGTACTTCAATTTAAAATGTACAATGTAAAATACTGTACAATGTTGATTCAGTAGTGTGTTGAAGATATTAAAATTCACCTTTCCCCAGAGCAAGCTTCTTCTTTCCTTTTGTATGTTCCAGCAGTAACTGCATAAATGTATTTGTTACCAAACATGTTTGCATTGCGACAAGACTTTTGTGAATTTCATCCTGAAGTACTGTACTTCCAGCATATGTGAAACCACAGTGAATAATTTTGGAACAAAAACCTTTTGTCTGCCAAGAGCTGCACACGGATCAAATCAACAGACAACACTTTTGCATTCACTGCTCAGCCTGTGTGCTGCACTGCACCAGTCCGTGGCTATGGTTGCCATTTGTTTGGGATTCAGTCAGTGTTAGCATTTCCATGGCAACAGAAGCGGCCAGGTTTATGAGTGGATTAGCCCAGATGTACGTCAGTCATTTCAAAGCATTGATTTCGGTAAAGGTGACTGAGTTTGGTGGAGATTACAGCCTTTACGCTGACTGCTCATGCAAGGCATTCTGCAGGATAATGGGCAGCTTTGAGGATTCAGGATTCTGCTTCAGATTTGGATACTTATGATGGGGAGGCAGAGTAAACTATTGAATTATTTCATGCTTCATGTTATAATAAACCTTTATAAAACACTGGTTAGGCCTCAGCTAGAGTACTGTCTTCAGTTCTGGACATTACACTTTAGAAAGGATGTCAAGGCATTGGAGAGGGTGCAAAGGAGATTTACCAGGATAGTACCAGGAATGAGGGACTTCAGTTATCAGGAGAGGCGAGAGAAGCTGGGATTATTCTCCTTGGAGCAGAGAAGGTTAAGAGGAGACTTAATCGAAGTTTTCAAAATTATGAGGAGATTCGATGGTGAACAAGGAGAAACTATTTCCACTGGTGGGTGGGTAGGTAACCGAGAGCACAGATTTAAAATAGTTGTAAAAGAAAGAGATGAGGAGAAATTGTTTCACACAGTGAGTTGTTCAGATCTGGAATGCATTGCCTGAAAGAGTGGTGGAAGCCGATTCGCTAACAATTTTTAAGAGAGAAGTAGATAATTATTTGGGGAGGACAAGTTTGCAGGGCTATGGGGAGAGCGCGGGGGAGTGGGATTGATTTGGACAACTCTTTTCAAAGATCCGGCACAGACACAATGAGCCGAATGGCCTCCTTCTGTGCTGTATAATTCTATGATTATAATGTGGGGGGACGGAGTGGAGGTATGAACATCCTTCAGATATACTGCTGTACTGTAATACACTGTGACCGTCTGAATCCAAACTTGAGGTTCCACGTTATAGTGTGAATCGCTTGCTGCAGGGATGTTTAAACTAGATCTGCTGCTTGAGTCACTATGAAGTGAAATGAGTGCCTGGTGAAGGAGGGGTTGGGGCGGGGAGGGTATCTGTGGAGAGGGTCTCACCCCCATTTCAACTGCATTTAATGGAAGAGGGAAAATACATTTATTCCTGTTAAAGTAATCTGAAATTTCTTTGGCAGTTATCACTGGATTAACAGAAAAAGGCTAGATAACATTTCAGTGGAATGTGCAAGTGGATGGAGGTACAGAGACCTCTAGTGTACTTGGGGATTATAGTCTGTAGCCTGGATTAACAGGAACTCTGGCATTACAAGTGCCTCATTCTTGTGTCTGTCTTTCATATTATAGGATTTTCCAAGTTGTTTCAGTTCAGATGTTCAGTTCATGCTGTCTCCTCTGTTCCAGGAGGTAGACAGCTCTTGAATATTTGGAATTCATTCAAAGGAGGGAATTGCAGGTTTAAAATTGTGTTTTTTGTGCCAAAAAGATCAATAATTTAGTTTAATATTGTGAATGATTTCTCGAAAGTGGCTTTTTTTCACCTAGGTTGTACAGGTGCTGACATAAGTCTCAGTGTCATACTGATTACCTTTTTAAGGTGACCTATCAATTGATTTCAATGTTGTTGTGCAATAAATGTTATAATAATCCTTGCATTTGATGTAACGCCTTATCAAGTCATTTATGGCTCAAAGCGCTTCACAGGATGTATTTGGTGGGGAAACATTGTGGTCACTTCGTGCACAGCAGTGTCCCACAAAGAGCCATGGAGTGAGTGACCAATTTTATTTGGGGGATTGTTGGCCAGGACACTGGAAGAATCTCTTCTCTTTTTGAGTACTGGAATTGGATCTTTAACGACAGCCTGGACAGGCAGACGATATCTCATTTTAATGTCTCATCCAAAGGATGCTTGTGCAGTGAGATTAAATGTAATTGTACATTTGTAGTCCGTTTCTATTATAATTGCAGCAGCACATGACCAAATGGTTTGAAGTCTATATATTTTGTTTATTTTATGAATGGTACTCCAGCAGTACCCCAACCCACCCTCTGGGATCCCCAATTTTGGCTCTTGCCAACCTAGTACTTTCTGGGATTAGGTAAACAGGGTATGTCCCTCCGAGCATTTCAGTCCAATAAATATCTCAGGATTTTTCATGTTTAGGTGGGATGCATGGAACTCTGTTTGCTTAAGCAGGGGGATGGGTTTCCACGTGTGTCAGACACCTGGCTGATAAAAAAAAGTGAGAACTTGAAGTGCAGTGTGCAGAGAGAGAAAAAAATTACTAAATTTCCTTTCTTTTTTTACACAGCTGCAGTTTTGAAATACGAGAACAATGTCATGAATATCCGACAGTTTAACTGTTCCCCACATCCTTACTGGCTGCCCAACTTTATGGATGTGTTCACTTGGTCGTTGCCATTTGTTGGAGAGAAAGGTATGTAAACATTCATCTATAGAGACCAAGCTAGCCGTTAATAAACAACAAAACAACAAAGAAAATGTTGTCATTTGAATGTACAGAGATAAAAGGTTTTGTAGCCAATCTTTTTTTCCCTCTAAACTTGAGTTGTTCAATACGTTGGTCACTGGCCATATGTGACCAATTGCACATAAAAGTGTGGCCAATTCAGGTTAATTTAGTATAATCCTTATGATTGGCTCCTGTCAGCGCCTCAGTACTTCAGGCTCTGGCAGCATCAACCTCCATGGTTGCACACTACAACTCACCAAGCCAGTCAGGAACCTCGGTGTTTTTTTCGACCCTCAACTGTCTTCTTCCCCACATCCAAGCCCTGACTCGCTCTGCCTTCACCATCGCCAGACTATGGCACTACCTCACCCCTCACGCTGCTGAAACTCTGGTCCACGCCTTTATCACCTCAAGGCTGGACTATGGGAACTCTCTCCTCGCCGGCCTTCCCGGCACCTCCCTCCACAAGCTGCAGGTCATTCAGAACTCTGCAGCTCATGTACTGTCCCGCACCAGACACCGCGACCACATCACTCCCACCCTCGCTCCCTCCACTGGCTCCTCATCCTCACCTACAAGGCCATTCACGGCCTTGCTCCCTCCTACCTCTCTGACCTACTATCCCCCTACCTACCTGCCCGTACCCTCCATTCCTCTGGCTCCGGTCTGCTCCACATCCGCCGCCCTACCATCGGTGGCAGGGCCTTCAGCCTCTCAGCCCCTAGGCTCTGGAACTCCATCCCCCAGTGCCTTCGCCTTGCTTCCTCCCTTTCCTCCTTCAAGGCCGGTCTCAAGACCTTTCTCTTTGACCATGCCTTCAGCTCCCCTCTCGACTCTCTACACCCTCCTCACTCCTTCTCTTCCCTCCCCTCACCCTGACCATTTCCCCCCTGCTCGGGTCCTGACCCAACTGTCCAGCACCTTGGGACGTCCTCCCTACGTGAAAGGCGCTCTATAAATGAAATCTTGTTGTTGTTGTTGTTGCCTTCCCTCACCTCAGTAATATCGCCCGACTCCGCCACTACCTCACCCCTCAGGCCGCTGAAACTCTTGTTTATGCCTTCATCATCTCCAGGCTCGACTATGCAAACCCCTGCTTGTCGGCCTTCCCAACTCCTCCTCCACAGGCTGCAGATAATCCAGAACTCTGCAGCCCATGTCCTCTCCCGCACCAAACTCCATGACCCCATCTCCCCCACTCTCACCTGACTCCATTGGCTCCCTATCCTTCAGAGGATCCAGTTCAAGATCCTGGTCCTCACCTACAAAGCCCTCCATGGCCTCGCCCCACCCTACTTCTGTGACCTCCTAACGCCCTACCAACCGCTCCCTCCGCTCAGCTGGCTCCGGCCTGCTCCACGTCCCCCGACCCACCCGCCCCACCATTGGCAAGAGAGCCTTCAGCCACTTTGGCCCCAACCTCTGGAATTCCATCCCCCAATCACTCCGCCTCACCCCCTCTTTAGCCTCCTTCAAGTACCGCCTGAAGACACTCCTCTTCGGCCGTACCATCGGTCACCCCCCTTCCCCTCCCCTCCCTTCTCCCTCCCTGACCCCAGGTCAGGTCTGAAATGCTGTAAACTGTCCAGCGCCTTGGGGTGTCCTCCCAACATGAAAGGCGCTATAAATGTAATCTTGTTGTTGTTGTATAAACAACAAAAAAGGTTTGGAACTTGCACAAGTTTGATGGATCTTACCAAGAACATTGAATCTCAGCTGAAGACTGAACTCAGCAACTGTTTGGCATTGGATGAATCTTGTGACACTTGCAACACTGTTCAATTGGTGTTGTGGGTGCAATACATCCCGACCAACCTTGTAATTAGGGAAGAACTGCTGGCCTTGATGGGCTGAGGGATCGAACACAAGGTTGTGACACATTTACTGCTTTCTGGGAAGTTGTGGAGAAATTTGGTCTGACTCGATAAACTTGCATCTGTCACTCTTGATGGTGCATCGGCAATGACTGGACAAAATCTTGGCTCGGTCACTGAGCTGAAGTGATATTTGGCAGAAATCAATAGCAAGCTGCAGTTGCTGTTCTCTTTCAATTTACATTATTCATCAGGAGAATTTGTGCGCTCAAATGTCCTCTGACTCGCTGAAAGATGTGATGGACGTGCTGATTAAAACAGTCAACCATATTCGTTCAAAAGCTCTGAATCACAGGCAACTTGTGGAACTGCTGAAGGAGGTTGAGTTGAAATATGCAGTGATGGCGTATTTCCCAAATATTCACTGGCTAGGTCGCAAGAAGCTTATGGAGAGATTTGTGAAGCTGCTTCCAGAGATCCGAGATTTCCTGGAACAGAAATGAAAGCTGGCAGAATTTTCAGAACTCGACAATGACAGCGAAGGCTGTGTGATCTCCTGTCTTTTACCGACATCACTTCACATCTGCACAATTTGTTCTCGAAACTGCTGGGGACAAATTGTTGGTTTGTCACCTCGCACATTATGTGAATGAATTTCAGTCAAAATTTCAAATGGCAGCTCAAGATTCACCCACTTTCCCAATTTGCAAAGATTCTCTGGAAATGACAATTTTGAATGTAAGTGTTATTGAATTGACTGCTAAATTTGCTCCAAAAATTCATCGCCAGAGAATCTTTACAAATTGGGAAATTGAGTGAATCTTCAGCTGTCATTTGCTCAATAAATAACTGCAATTTTGACTGAAGTCTTTGAATACCTTGCAGCAGATGAAGTACTTTTTATCAAAAGACCACAAGATCTTGTCCTTCCAGGACACCGGCCCCATTTCTTCCTATTATAACATCAAGCTTTAGACTTCCAGAATTTGCTGTCCTGTCCTTTGGATAAGATGTTAAACCAAGTTCCCGTCTGCCTGTTTAGGCGGACGTTAAAGATCTCCAGCAGCACTACTCGAAAAGAGAAGGGAGGTTCTCTGTCCTGATGTCCTGGCTGATAATCACCCCCAAAAAATTGGTTATTTACGCCATGGCTGTTTGTGGGACATTGCTGTGTGCAATTGGCTGCCGTGTTGAACCCACAAAATACACAGTAAGATACAAAATCTGTACAAGCTCTGCTTGTATCTATTAGTAACCTCTTAGCTGTAGTGCTGATTTACTGATCTGACTCCTTTTTTCTGTTTAGTGATTTTATTTACATTATTCCTACTCTTTCCCCCCACCCATGTTTTGTATGTCTGATAGATGGATTTATATCAAATTATAATGAAAGTCCAGGATGAGAAAAAAGCCTTTTGGCCCAATGATGTTCATTGCATAAACTCTCCATGAACTGAGTAACTCTTGTTTAGTCTCTGTTCTCTGTGCTCAGGAGATTCCAAACATTTGTAACCATTTGATGAGCGGTTTTCCTAACCTCTGTTCGTGAGTTTACTTCACGTTGATTTGCATAGATGTTCTCTGACCTCAGTGTCCTCCCTGTCTTTGAAGTATTGGTCTGAGTTTGCCTTAATCTATATCATTTAATGTCTAATATACATATAATGTTTTCAATCTCTTATCGTTCTTCATAGCCCATTCCCTTCACATGTGGCACCAGTAGTGTTCATATTATCTGTACATGTTCTCATATATCTTTCTCTTCCATGTATCTATCTTTATGGAACTTTGACTAAAACTGAACACAATGTAGTCCAGTCAGTGTATTGCAAACATCATTGATCATACCTTCTTCATTGGTAAACTTGTATTCAAAAGCTGGAGATTTTTACAAGATTTTTTTAAAAACCTGCTTGCTATTTCCCTCTCCACCCTGCCCCCCACCCTCCCATGTCTGGAAATTGAAAGTGATATGTTCAATATTCAGAGCCCCTTTCGTGCACCATATTTTTCTCCAAATATATCTATGCATTGTATAATGCTATACATTTGCAACAATGATTTTCTCTGCCGTGTGCCCAGTGCTATGCAATCTGAATTTGCTGTACCTTACTAAGTATCTTTGAGCAGCAAGAAAGCAATCGTTGCCTGTCTTGTGGGGTGTGAACATGAGCTTGCAGCAAACTTGTGTTCTGTTCTGTTACTCTCATTTGCTCCAATGATTCTGAGCTGAGATCAACGCCAATAGCAAAGTGGTACTCCGCATGAAACATTACATCTCCAGCATTGTGCTAGAAGGCTTATTACGTACTAAATGTTTTCTTTTTGTAAAAAAAAGCCTGCAAGAAGTCCCCACTTTCTTTACATTTGGATGCCAGCTGCGATGTACCCAGCAGTTTCTCTCTGTGAAGTGTAAAATAACACTCTTTTAGTGCAACGAAGGGGTTTTTCATACTGCTTATCCTCTGCAGGTATAGAGGAAAGCCAGATACTGTTAAGTATATGACCTGCTTGCTATCAAATTATACTGATGTGTCCAAATCATTGCATAAGAGATTTTTTTGCCGGGGTGTTGCTACTGTATGTTTGTATTCCATAGCAACATTCCGAAGCTCTTTTGCCAAAGTAGTTACAAAATCCAGGTCACTCTGGTTCATTTAGATAAGGTTTTGTTCCCTTGGTATGTAGATGCTACGTAGACAACGAGGCCAAGGTTTGATGCTCAGCATTGTATGTGGGCAGCGTGCAGAGTTAGATAGCTAATAATAATAATAATAATCCTTGCATTTAATGTAGCATCTTATCACATCGTTGAGACGTCTCAAAGTGCTTCACAGAATATACTGTAAAGTCGGTTGATTGTGTATTTTGTGGGTGAAACACGGCAGCCAATTACGCACAGCAATGTCCCATAAACAGTCGTGGATTGAGTGGCATTTTTTTAATATATTGGATAACTACCCTGGAAAGCAAACCACCGATCCACTAACAACTGGGTTCCTACTTACTGCTAGCTAAAATAGAGGCGTGTGGAGTGAGAAAATTTGCCAAAGATTTCGTCCTGCCAGGGAACCAAACCCAGGTCCTCTCACTTGCGAGGCGAGCATGCTAACCAATACACTACATGATTTTAGGAGCATTTCAAAAGGAAGGGGGGAGAGGGCGGGAAGTGGGGAGGGGTGAAGATGGGTGGCAGGGCTGAGGAAGGATGGGTTGCAGTTCAAGTGGTGATTTGGCACTTAATTCTAGGATCAGATTTTGTTTGTCTAAGAGAGTGAGACTAAGGTATGCCACCTACACATGGAAATGTCCCTGCATCTGGAACAGTGGTGGCTGGTGACCTTTTTGATACAATCTGAATGACCTAATCAAACTAACTCCACACTTGTGGAGTCCTGTAGCTCAGTGGTTACAGCACTTGCCTTGCAAGCGAGAGACCTGGGTTTGATTCCCGGCAGGGTGAAATATTGGCAAGTTCCTTACTCCACACGCCTCTGTAGTAAGTAGGTACCCGGTTTTTAGTCAATTGGCTAATCACTTTTCCAGGGGTAATAATTCTGTTAAAAACATTTTTTTTTTAAATTGGTCATTCAAACCATGACTGTTTGTGGGACACTGCTGTTCCCCAATTGGCTGCCGCGTTTCACCCATAAAATATACAGTCAATTCATTTTGCAGTATATTCTGTGAAGCCCATTGAGATGTCTCAAAGACATGATAAGGTGCTATATCAAATGCAAGGATTATTTATTAGTATTATTTCCACCAACCCTAATATAGGGTGACCAAAAAGTCACATGATATCTACCCTTATTCTAAAATATATATGTATACATCATCATTTCTTTAAGACTTATTAGACATTATAATGTTATCACAATTTTTGGGTCACTCTGAATAAGTTGGTCAGGGTTGCAAAGAAGTATACCATGAATTTCATCAATCTCATTTGAACGTTTGGGGCCAGTGAGTAAGTGGGTGTACCTTTGAAGACCTGTGGATGGATTTATAGGAACAGAGCATTTTGGTGCTGCATTTTTTAAAATGATTTCTAACTCTATTGTATAGCCATTGTACACTGTTAACCAGCAATCTGTCATCAAGTATGTTCTGTGTGATGTCAACGAAACAAAGTACACAATATGACACAAGTTGGTTGGTAATAGATTGGCAAATTATATGTAAAGCACAGAGCATTCAAGCCTTGTATGTACAGAAATCGGTGCACATTAGGAATATGTTTGTGATCATCTTTTTCTGTTCATGCCTCAAATTCTGCAATTGGGCAAATCAATCATCCTGTCTGTCAGAGTTGCTTAATGCTGCTCAGAGTGTGCTGATATTGTGTTTGTCCTGTCTTTCTAGTAACTGAGATGTTGGTGAATGTGTTAAGTATCTGCTCCGATGACGAACTGATGACTGATGGGGAGGACGGCTTTGATGGTAAGAAAGCAAGTCTGAAATGGCACCAAATGCTTGTGCTTAAAGTCCTCTTGTGCAGAACAGAAGTTAAGCCAAAGATCCTTTACTCTCACACTTGAAGGCCAGGACTAATAATTGTATTGTGTCCTCAAGATTTTTCTACCTTATTCTCTCTAACGGCACTAATACCTATTTCATCTTTTGTCATTTTTTTTAATGCTCATTTAATTGTTTTCTGCTTTCTTTGTTTGGCTATATCAGCAATCTGCTTTCTTTTGTACAAATTGTCCTAATTTCCTTACCACAGTGGGGGATAAACATTGGTCAACGCTTTGAATTCTCCTCTATGAGGAAATGTCTCATACAGTGCAGCCCTGTTATAAACACGTTGAGTTTGGGGCCATAAAATCCCAACCCACACTATAACAGGGTGAGATTACAGGTTAATCATGATGACACCCATGTCATTGTGAATCTGTGTTGAAAGCTTGTTAGTTTCTGCACTAAAAATGACCATGAACTCATCAGGTCATGATATGACAATACCACCAAATTATAATTGTATAGCGCCCTTAAGTTGGAAAGACATCCCAGGGCACTGGACAATCAGGGGTTTTGGACCCGAGCTGGGAGTTGGTGTCAGAAAGGGAGGAGGGCAGGGGAGGTGGGAGGGTGGCCGAAGGCACGATCGAAGGGGAAAGTCTTCAGACGGAACTTGAAGAAGGCAAGAGAGGGGGTGAGGTGGAGGGATTAAGGGATAGAGTTCCAGAGTGTGGGGACAGTGATGTTGCTTGCCCGACCACCAATGGTGGCTCGACTGTCACACTGCTTGTGCCCCAAGCCATGCAATCCACAATCTAACCTGCTTGTGGTAATAGTTTTGAACGCACATCGTGACGAAAATGCAGGCTAACTTCCTATGGTTGGAGTCTGAGGTTAGGTTGTACATTGATCCAATGAGCAGCCAAAATTACTACTGCAAGCAAGTGAGCTTGTACATTGACAGCAAGTGCAAACAAACCTACTAATGCAATGTGCAGTACAGGAAGCCAGACATAGGTCCTTAGGGCACCAGCCTTATAAATAAGTCGTTTTTTTAAATTATATTGCAAAGAATTCTGGATTTTGTGATATGGCCCTAACAACATTCATCTGTGTAATATTTCATGTCTGTTCATTTTTCTTTATCACTGTGGACAACAAATCCATTTGCATTAAAGACTATCTCGATCAGGCATCTGCCAGTGATCTGCACTCTTTGTACAGTAATTACATTACTTACAAAATGACTGTCAAGGACTCAACTAACCTGTTTGAAAGGACACTGGAAAATTAACAATTTATCACACTGCTTCTTTATTTTCATCACCTTTCCATAAAGTTATTTTTTTAAATCTTTTTTTTCCTTGATCTAATCTGTTTTTCTTCTGTTTTCACAGAGTTTGGTTTTAAACGCATTAATTTTCCATTGGTTCTGTCAGATATTTCTATCTATTTTGTTTCCATCCTTCCAACTTCCTACTGATCTTTCTGTCTCTTTATTTTCTGGACTTTCTCATGAGAAGAACAGCTCATTTATGGCCAGAAGAAAGGTACTAATTAAATGACTTGAGAGCAACAAAACCAGGAAAATGGTCAAAAATGGTCTTGGCTCTAGTACCATGGGGTTTGGTGTGCTTGTTACAAATATAAGATATGAATAGGTGTTTCACAAGTGATGTAATCATTGACAACACGTTGATAAAGCTACAAAGAATAACTTTACCAATGTGAAATTCTGTCTTTACACAAGAACATGCAAGTCTTTGAAATTAATATTTCACTACAAGTACACATTTTACAGTAAATCCTGTGAAGCGCTCTGGGACATTTCAATGTCGTGACAGCCGCTATACCAAATGCGAGGATTATTATTATTATTAATATATTGCACTTGTGCTGAATTGAGTTTTCAGTGGTTTAGATCTTTGGCTGTCGCAGTTTGGCTTCATCAACAATAAGTTGAATTTATACCACATATTCATCTTAGGAGATCATCTCACAAAGTGCTTCAAGTTTTATTGGTGTATGGGCAAGATATTGTAGGAATAAGTCTCAGGAGTGGCTGCAATAAAACATGTTTGAGACATAGCAGCTGATCAAGCTACACTTTTAGATGCTCCTGTAATCTGAGGCTTTGGGCCATTTGTCTATGCCCTGTTATCAGTTTCACAAGGCAGCTGGATATAATCAATTTAATTCAGATTTTGACCAGCATAAATTAAGTCAAGCTGCTAAATGTTTAACCCAAAAGTTGCTGGCCTCCCATTTCTGATTTGTCCATTCCAAAGCTTTTACTACCTCTAAAGGTACCCAGCAATTTTAAATTTGCACTGATAACCTAATCCTCATTTTCTAAATGATACAGAGCAGGATTGTAACAGCCTAACTAATACCTAACTGCTGGCTCCAACAATTTGAACACTGGATTCTTTAAAAGTGTAAGGCCTCATATCCCTGAGCTGTTTGCCTCTTGGACTTGCTTCACTAGTTGAGTCAGTTGAGCAAGTCCTAGCCAATTGCAGAGCACAACTTATGGTGACAAACACAAAATGGTGACCTGGAGAGATGTGTGTGATCAGAGTAGTCACAGCCAATTGCTTATGGAGAGTTGGTTTGCTTGTGGAGAGTCGATTTGTTTGTGTGTCTAGAAAGAATCCCAGAATAGAGCTGCTGATCTGTCTTCACGTGGGAATATTACTGAACCATTTTAATGCAGTGATATTTGTTAATGAGCCTGTATGCCTAGGAGCCTTCAGGGAAATCCAAAGCATTTAAAAACAATAAGCTTATGTTAATAATAATAATCCTTGTGTTTCATATTGCGCCTTATCACGTCTTCGAGATGCCTCAAAGTGCTTCACAGAATATACTGAAAAATTAACTAACTGTATATTTTATGGGCAAAACACGGCAGCCAATTGCGCACAGCAATGTCACACAAACAGTCGTGGATTGAATAACCAAATTTTTTTTTAAAAATTTAATTTCTTTTTTTTTCAAAGGGATTATTACCCCTGGAAAAGTAATCCACCAATCGGGTTCCTATTTACTGTTAGGTAAACAGAGGCGTGTGGAACAGAGGTTCCTATTTACTGCTAGGTAAACAGAGGCGTGTCACCCAATGTTTAGCCCTGACCGGGAATCAAACCCAGATTCTATCGCTTATGAAGCAAGTGCTCTAACCATTAAGCTACAGGACTCCATATTAATACACATACTGGAGGTGATCAGATGAGTGGGTGCCAATTCTCTTTGGTATTCTGTCTGTGAGCAGCTTCTAATTGATATCAAATACTTGGAAAGTGTCCCAAAAGGTTTTGGGTTAATAAGGGCTTTCAATGCCTGTGTTGGCACAAATACAAAAGGGATGCCATTGGGGACGCTGAGCTCGTAACAATCAGGTTTTCAAAAGGCACCACAGCGACTAGCACCTTCCCATTCAGTGACTGGTACTGTTTGTACCATACTATTCATTGACTAGTAGTACTGTGTGTACTGTCCCATTCAGAGATCATCAATACAAGGTTAATACATTTCTTAAGACTTCCATCTATACATAAAGGCCAAAACCAGTTCTTTCTGCTCTATGTTGACTACTTAATACAATGGAAGAATTATTATTAATTCTTTCTGAATTGCCTTTTCGGGATTTGAGTTGCAGGGCAGGAAATAATGATTGCAAATGATAACACATCGAGAAATTGACATTTTCTAATGAGAGTTATTCTCATTGCATTGAGAAACAAAAAGCCATTATCTAAGATGCTCAGATCACATACACCTTTTTAAAAAAAATTACGATAGTTGTACACTTTGTGATACTTTGCCAATGTTACCAGTTTGCAGTATTCTTATTTGGATATTCTGGGTAAATAACATGTATTTAGAATGCATATATTTTGGCTGCCTCGTTTCACCCACAACATATACACTCAATTCACTTAACGGTATATACTGTGAAGTGCTTTGAGATGTTTTTCGAAGAAGTGATAAGGCGTTATATTAAATGCAAGTATTATTATATAGAGCTATTACCCCTCAATTGTGTCAGCCATAATTTTTAGAAAATTGCATATCCTGAAGAATTGTAATTAAAATAAGGATTAAATTCTGGTAGGCAGCTTCTGAATACATTAGTAATATATTAGAGAATAATTTTTTGGGGGGAGGGAACTGAGATTGAATTTCTGTTTAATTATTTCTGTGATCAAGACCTTGATTCAGCAACCTTCATTCTCTTCATGTTGGGCTCTCCTGAGGTTTGCTGAGAATAAATCTCAAGCCACTTCAGGCAGTAACTGTGATGCTGAGACAGCACATTGCTTCTGATCTGCTTACTAATGAGCTGATGTAAACTAAATTGGTCTGAAGATCAGAAAGGAATCCAAAACTGTATTTACATCCCATGAATGAAAACTGAGAGGTTTGACAGTATAAGCACCTAATAGTCATTTTATATATTATATGCCAGGATTCAAATTACTAAATATAAAACGAATGCCACAGAAAACATTTGTGTTGTAAAAATATAAACTAGTTGGCAAAAAGGAGATTCTAATAAAAAGAATGCACAGCCCTTGTTTTAACATCACAATTCACCACTTGTTCCTGTCCATTACGTCCACTACAATTGTTGGGGAAGGTCCATGTAGAAATGTCATGTGAAAACTGAATCCTGGCTTGTATGAATGGAGTGACCCGCTCAATCTGCAGTAAATGGGCAACACATGAATAAATTCAAATTAAGGGATATGAAAAAAGGTGGGAAAAGACCATGGTCTAAATTAAATTGTGAAACAGACTTTATAGACTGATGAATAACCTACTCCCATTGACAAATGTGCACATTTCAAGGTTTTAATCTGGAGAAAGGGTACTTGTGTATTGCTCAAAAATGCTCCACATTATTAGATTCAGCTGAAAGATTTGTCATTTCAGCTTGGGAATTATATTCAAGGTACCCTGGTGAAAATCTGAGCTGGTGATAGCACAATTTGTAATGGCCTTGAAACTCTGAGGCTAAAACTGGGTTGGATATGTAGCAAGGAATGAGTGATTGCAATGAAATTAACAAACCTTGTGTCTTGCTAGGTGCATCTGCTGCTGCTCGTAAAGAGGTCATTAGGAACAAGATTCGGGCAATCGGCAAGATGGCCAAGATGTTTTCTGTCCTCAGGTAAGTTTGACTCTCTAAGTTCAATTTGACGAGCATTGTTATGATCAACACTTTGGGAGCATAGTTAACAGAACCTTGAGTTCTCAGTAGAATTTTGACCCTGAAGGCTTTCATACTGAAGCTTAAGATAAGGCACTAATGTGAGTTCTGACCAACCTGACAGATACTTGGCTCAAACCAAAGAAAATCCGCCCTCTTCAGATGGTTATTCCTGTCCACACACTCATCTTCTTGATCCAAATGCATTTCAGAAAATCAGGTTCTATAATCCATTATGCAGACGTCTGTAGAATAAAAGTCATCGATTGATCCAATAGCTCAGTGAGCTGCTGAATTCAATTTGGTTGACTTGCTCCTATCGATTAAAGTGGGTGTTTGGTATAAATCTATTGCCTGATGTTTCATTCAAATATTACAAACATTGCATTCCATGGTCAGATATTGTTTTTAATTTCAGTACTTTGAATGGGGAAAAAGAAATTAGTTTACACAATTGCATGTTTGCCGTGGTGTTGCATGTAGTTAATGACTAAACTACCTTTATGTGCGCTGGAGTGATTGAATGAAATGGGTTTGTATGCTTCCTGCAACTTATTTTTCTGAAGAAGAACAAAAGACATGAAATGATCAGCCATTTTTGGCTTTCTGTGCAGCTGATAAATAAGTAGGTCTGATAGTACATTTCATACTGTTGACTGTTACAATACTGTAACTTTATGTTGAGGAAGTGTGGCCACTAGAGGGTTCTCTGGTATATTTATTGTTGCTTACCTTAGCACATAGGAGTTTCAGGCAGGAGTAGAGCATTATTCTATCTAGCTGACCTCACCTAGATTTTCTCAGTGTCATATCCTAATTATCCCAAATCCTTTTAATTTTCAGGGTTTTGTTCAAATTTTTTAAAAACCTTTAAAGTTTCTTATTCTACTGCCTTATGTACATTCGTTGTTTTGACCACTGAGACGCTTCAGTTTACTCTCCAACTGGTAAGATATTTCAGACCATGTGAGAAGGCAGCCTGCCTTTTGAGTGATTGATTTCAGAACACCCAACCACAAAATCCTGCTGTGATGTATATATCCTTACGACTACACTCTACCAATGTTAAGATTATATTACTTTAACCAGAAAAGGATATCCAATGTCATGTACTCTGATAGCTTGGCAGTATTTTGATTTTGAAAAACTTTTATCAAATTTTTGTTCTGAATTTAATGGGAGGTGTAGATCTAATACACTGTTAGAAATACTTATACATTCATCAGTAAAAAGAACAGTTATATACCCCATAGTCCAGAATGTTTCCATATTGTGTCTTCACCACAGGATTAGTACTGCCTAAGCTTGTGCAATAAATAGTGGTATTAGTTACCAAACTATCTTTATGCGCACTCGAGTTATTTAATTTAAAACAACAGATTTTCATTCCAGTAGTACAGTGTTAGTTGACAGTCTGTAAGTTGCTTAAGGCTGGTGAGTTAGAAGAGTCCATTTCAACTAAGCTCAAATTCATGGAAAGCATGGAAGCCTTGCACAGCAGGTAGGTGTTGCTGTCGTTAAACAACTACAACTTGCATTTATATAGCGCCCTTCATGCAGGGTAGCTTCCTGGAGCCCTTGACAGTGGTGGAGTGTAACACCGAGCCAGTGTGAGAGGGAGAGAGAAGGTGACTGTAAACACGATCAAAAAGGAAGGTCTTTAGGCGAGATTTGAAAGTGGAGAGGGTAGGGGCAAGGTGGAGTGATTGAGGGAGAGATTTCCAGAGTTTTGAAGTGTGACTGAAGGCACGGCCACCGATGGTGGAGCGGAGGGAATGAGCGACAAACAGGAGGCAGCTGAGCAGAGGCAGCGAGTGGTGGAGTGGGGTTAAGCAGATTAGGTATGTGGGCATGAAGGGATTTGAAAATGAGTGGGACGATCTTGATAACGTTCCGTTCGGTAATTGGGAGCCAGTGTAGCCTGGTAAGGACTGGTGTGATGGGGCTGTGGAGTTTTGTGCGGGTGAGTATCCAAGCGGCGGAGTTTTTAATTAATTGAATTTTGTTTATGGTGGAGCTGGGGACATCAGCGAGGAGGGCATTGGAATAGTCCAGCCATGAAGTGACGAAGGCGTGGACGAGGGTTTTGGCTGCGTTGGTTGTGAGGTACGGATGGAGGCGGGCAATGTGACGGAGGTGGAAAAATTTGGTCCTTGTCAGGGAACGGATGTGGGGTAGAAAGGAAAGCTGGGAATCAAACCTGATGCCTAAGTTGCACACTTAGTCTGAGAGAGAGCCCGGGGAAGTTGCGGATTTGAGACCTACAGGAGAGAAGACTTTGACGGAAGCCAAAGAGTACGGTTTCTGTCTTGCCAGCATTCAGATGCAGGAAATTTGTACTCATCCAGGGCTTGATGTTAAACAATCTGGCAGGACATCAGCGGACTGGGAGTCACAGCTGGAGGAGGAGAAGTAGATTTGTGTGTCATCCGCATACATGTGGAAGTTGACCTCATGTCTGCGGGTGACATCACCGAGAGGAAGTGTGTAGATGAGAAAAAGAAGTGGACCAAGAATGGAGCCTTGGCGTACCCCACAGGTGACCGGATGGGGCAGGAGGAAAAAACATTTGCTGAGATATATTGTTGGCGGTTTGTTAAGTAAGATAAAATTGTTATGCACTGATTTTATTAACAACTAACATTTGCATCACCTTAGGGTGATTCTTTCATCCCACTGAATACTGCAGCTGACCAAGATGTTCTGTTTCTGGTGATTTTACTGTGTTCATCTTAATTTCCCAGGCTTTTCACAATTGAGACAGCCATTCAGAAACTGGGATATGTAGACAAATGTAACCAGACTGATGAAAACCAAAGCAAATAGATAACAAAAATCTGCTTAATAGCACTTGGACAGGAACAAATTTCTGTTACCAAAACAAATCTAGAAATACGTATTTTGAGTTATGAAGTTAACTAGAGATTAACAGAACCTGAGGCTTTTTTAAGTTTTATTCCATTCTTGTCAGGCCTTACAGCAATGTTCAGTGCACAAACCGAATGATATTAATTGCCAGGTAAAGGAACATTGTCTATCTGGGAAGTTGGGTTTCTGCCCAGAGCAAGTCCCAATTTAGAGTGGCAGCTTGTAGCTTTATTGGGTAAATTGTACATCATTATGAGCAGCTCCAGCTGCTGATGTTACGGGACAGTTTTTTAGCTGATGTGGGCAGACAGTAAAAGACGATCTCAGTGCTGTGCCTCATTCCTGTATTTTCAACAAAACTTAAAGCATCTCAAATTCTGTTAATCCTTAGTACAACTTTGCAACTCAGACACAAAATACATATTTCTAGAGTCATCCTAAAAACATACTTCATGAGTCTAGTTAAAATTTATTATTGGTTTCTTCTACAATAATGAATGGAATGGTACATTTAAAATGGTGAATAGCAAAGAAAGCCTTTGTGCCTAGGAATTAACGCTGAAAGGTTTGTTTTGAATTGGAATTGAACCAGATTGGGTGATGCAGACAGTTTATCAAATATCTCAATTGTGTTCCAATTCTGATCACTTCAGTTAGGATCTCTCTCTACAGTGTTGAGTGTGCTTGTGTAGTGAAGGAGATGTGCTGCTCTCTGTGTTGCATGGACATGTAATGTCATTCTTTACGCTACACTAAGGCTTTGCATGCTGCTGGTTCTCGGATTTCAGGTGCTTTGGTTGTCAGGTAGGTTCCAGCATTCTGTGTTTGTGTAAGTTCAGTCAGTCTTGTTTTCTAGTGGCTGTTCATCCCAGATGTTTGGTTTTCTCTGATATGTGTAGTGACCATACATCTGTTGTAGCATTGAAGAAATAGCTTAATGCTGCCACGACAAGTCATTTAGTAAGATGAGATCAAGTTGGTTGAAGAGCCATCTTCATCCATAACTTGTTATTGAAACTGGTGAAAAGGAACCACCTAAGCAGTCAGTCTGTACAGGCTGCCTCTAGTGTGGTTCCATGTTTGCAGAGAGCTTGGCATTATTCAGGGAGTCATGCGTACATTTGTCTTCTTCAACAGAGAGGAGAGCGAAAGTGTCCTGACACTAAAAGGCCTAACTCCCACAGGAATGTTGCCCAGTGGTGTGCTTGCCGGAGGAAAGCAAACACTCCAAAGTGGTAAGATCACAATTTATATTTTTGTCCTAATGATGGTAAACCAATACCGTAAAGAAGTAGCCGTTACTCTCACCAGTGGTTTTGATGGCCTATAAAATTGTCATTGCTGATCAGGTGTAAAGTGCTGGTAATGATCAGCATAGGGTTGAACGGGGAAATTATAGCCGTTTTTCAAGATTCCTTACATTATAAACCTAAAGCTCCTTCAAAAACTAAAACAATCCTGTATGAAGGGCATTGAACTTATCACAATCTTTGCAGACTCTTGGCATTTCACTTATTTACAGCACATGGTGGTGTCGCTGATTGATGCAGTGTTGCGTGATATTGTAAAGAGAATCAGGCTAGTAAGTGCAGGTTTTTAAAATGCAAGTCATTCTTGACCTAGTTTATAGCTTTGGCTTTGATGGAAATGCAATGGATTTATATTTATATTGCGTTTCAAAAATCATTGAATAAAGTACCACATAAAAGATTTAACAAATATTATGGTGCATAGATTTATGGGGAATGTGGTCAAATGGATGAGGACTTTGGAGAGCAGAAAGCAAAAAGTGGGAGTAAAGTTTCTCAGACTGAGAAGATGCAGTGAGTGATAATCCATGGAGTTGTACCTGGACTTGTAGTGACCTGAACTTGGGAACTGAAGAAACAATGGCAATTTGTTGATGATGCCATGTTTGGGAGGAAGAGAGTGGGCTGAGAAAATTGTGATGAGAATTGTGGAAGGCAGGAGAAGCTAAATAGGTTAATAGGATGGGCAGATAAGTGGCAAGTGCAGTTCAAGGTCAAACAACTGTGAAGCAGTACATTTTGGTAGTAATAATGGGGAAAAGTAATGTGCGTTAAAGGGGAAGATTTTATATATCAGTAGAGGACTAGTTAATCAAAAAGGTAGCAGCGCAGGTGGATAAGGCCATAAAAAATATCCCTGGGTTTATATCTGGTCGCATAGTAAATAATAAAAGGCAGTGTTTTGGACTGGACCTCAGTTAACACAGATAGAGCATTGAATAAAGTTTTCGGTTTTGGGCAGCAGGGAGTGTGAGAGACTGACAATTGTTACATAATATGCTATAATTTTACGTTATTCCCAAGAGGATTTGTAAATGGTGCATCACAAATGTATCTCAACGGATACCACGCAGCTCTGCTCAGATGCTGACTTTGCAGAAGTTGAAGTTCATGTCAGATCCAGAGAATGAACCTGAGACATGTTCAGGATTTGCCAGATACAAATCCCCAATTCCCAATTAATGAATCTTTTGACCATAGCCACATTGGTGAGAGCATGCTCTTTATGGAAACTCTTGTTTAATGCATTTCTTTCTTTCAGGGCTGTTAATTTTTATTTTGTGCATTCAACATTTAAACAATGGGAGATTGCACAATTGAAAGTAAATATAAATGCACAGTTGAAAGTAGCTTGGCCCAAGTTATCATTTGTACTTGGCATTTTAATCCTATGTATTATTTTTACAGTGATGGCCTTCTAATTTGGTTGAAGAGAATTATCAGATAATGGGAAAGTGAAGTTTTGCCTTTTCCCAAGTCATTTTAAACATTAGCAGTTCTATGTTAATGAAGTGGATGTTAATTTTCCAGATGCGTGCAGCATGATGTCCTTAAAGGGATCATGTCCAAATTCTTAAAGGGAAAAATAAGATTCACAGCAAAATGTAAATTAGTTGTACTTCTGGCTCAGACACTGGGGCTCAGAGAGCAGCTCTGTGATAACATTGGAGACCAGGTCCTTTTAGGTTCTAAACACTGATCTGAGCTGTCAGTGATCTTTGAAATCTTTGATGGCTAGTCGCTTTTGTATACCGAATATGAAATTCACCAATAGGTCTGAATTGCACTGAATTGTAAAATCACTTGCTAGACCAGTAAGATACTAAATTTTCAATCACTGATAGCTCTGAATCATTACTGAGGGCTAGAAAGGAGACACAGTGCATGCTGGTCTGACAAAGCTGCCCCCTGATGGACCCATCACTGGCATCACCTGAGTGGATCTTCCTGAAGATGCAAAAATGTGATTAAAATACAAATTTCTCTTTTTGGACAGAGTTCTCAATTTGGCTTGTCGAATATCTAAATGAGGGGAATGCTAACCCCCAAACTAATATTCCCCTTTAAGAATGCAAATTGCCACTTCTAATGGTTATTGCCAGTGATGGCTCAGGTTCCAACTGGTGCCTCTCACTCCCTGGTCAGTTTCTCAAACCTTGGAGAATGTAACCTAAGAAGTTTTTCTTTTCCCCTTTTGCCTCTTGCCATTTCTGTGACATTGCTGGAAATGACTGGTACTGTGTAAACGGCAGGTTTGTTGCAGCCATTTCCTACTGACTGGAAATAAAAAATTCCATTCATGAATTTTGTTTTTAAATTAGATGAAGCCCCGAATGATATGAACCACAATCCGTTTTTATTGAGGAGGGGTGAGGGGGAGCTCCAATGTACTTTTTTTTATTTTGAAGAATTTGTAAATGCTTTTTCTCTCCAGAAGAAATATATGGAAATTCAAGAGTTGCAGTATTTTGGAAAAGCAACTTTGATGAATGCTGCCATTTCTTACAGTGGTGTGTTTGAGTGTTTTGAATGGAGAAGTTCCCAATCAGTTCTGATTTAGGCTCCTACTTGTTGACTGAACGACTGTAATGATAACTGAATAGATTCTGAATGACTGAATTTTAATAAAATGCTCATGTAGTTAATGAAAGGTAATATCAGTCAATGAAAGAAAGAGGAAGAGCTATTTGACAACATTCTGATTTGTTATACTTTATTTAACCCATCAAATGTCTTTATATATGCATTATCTACAAATTTAGAAATTGCTGCTAAATAGTAAGTGACAGTAGATATTCACTGTAGTTTTTTTACTCTGGGGAATCTTCAGTTGTGCCACAGAATGCAGTCTTTCATTTAACTTTCACTTAGTTGATCCACTTGTATGTAGTTGTATGTATGAATTCACGGTTTGATAAGTCAACTATATGAGGCAGCCTCCAAGACTAATCTGAATTCTGCATGTGGTCGTTATCCAACCACATATTGTACTCTTATCAATAACAAAACCTTTTCCTCAACTGTCAAGTTGTATTGTCGCCTACTTAGCTAAAATATATTGTCTTTCTATTATATATGTGAACTGGGTACTGTGTGTGAAACGGGGCTGCTTGTTGACACCCTGCTGAACTTCCTCCCTGCTTCACTCTTTCCAATATTCTATTTGCTTTCTGATATACTCTTTCTCTCTCCCTTCTATCCAGACGAATCAGGTACTCGCTTCATTCACTCATGTGCCTTTGTATGTCAGTGTTCTATGTGCTGGTGCTAACTTACACATGCTATTAACATTCACCCATGCAAACTGACACACCAGCACAGGATATCTCCAAAAACATTTTTAGTACGTGGAAAAATCCCATAATGAATACTAGGAAAGCCACCTCCTCAACAGGGGAAAGATGGATTTCCTGGCAGCTCACAGATGTTAAGTTGTGCAGTTGTGGTATCTGATATTGTCTTTAACTTAGTCTTTTAACCTTTTTTTAAAAAAATGTTTAATTACTCCTTGTGTTAGTTTGCTCCTTTTATTTTGATATGTAAGGCAGAATGCAGACCCTGTAGCTCATGTGTTCATGGTAGTTAAGGAAATTGGGTGTATGTTGGGCCAGACAACTATATATATTGTGACTAGCCCAGTGCTAGCAATGCCCATCCATTTTAATATAAACCCTCAGTACTTTTTTATATAAATATGGACGATCAGACCTTGTGCTCTTTAACTGGTCCCATACCAGAGTGAAGACACACCATTCCCAAGCTATGTCACCGTTCAGTATATGCTGTATTTGATGGAATATAAGAGGTACATACAGACATGTATGTGTGTTGTACTCTGCTTTTGTTGTATATGATTCCTCAGTGATTTCCTCAAATATTGTCATGTGGCAGCACTGCAGTATCTCAGGAAACCACTGAGAGACTGTATAATGAGAGCAAGAAACCAACTAATCAACCAAACCCAGTCACCCATTCACATCATTGAAAAGGAAAATGGATTAAAGAAATCTCCTGACAGAGAACCTGTTAAACCAGGACAAACAACAACCAACCGCACAGCCTTCAATGGCAATCCACGATCAGAAAGAGGAAAGGGGAATAGAGAGCAATTAATCCTAAAGTTCAAGTCAAATAGTTCAGATCATTTAGGAAAGAGAAAGATCAGTTTTTTTAAAAAAGAGAAAAAAAGCCACATAATCTGAACAAACTAAACCTTGCCAAAAACCTTCTGAATTATATTTTTAACACAGAAAAATTTTGCAGCTGGATTTAGGTGGATGCTCAGGTAAATTCCTTGAATAAGTGCTTCCTCCATTTTGCAAATACACAGCAGCAAACTCCAATACCATTTATAAATTGATAACAGGATTTTGCTACATTGATAGATTTAAAACCAATGCATTGCTACAGTCAAATCTTAGAAATCCACTGTTTCTTTGATTGTCCTACAGATAGATGTGGATTTAGCTCAGTGAAAATATCTAAGACATGGAAAGGTGAAAGGCTACTGTTCTTGACTGTGCTAACACTGTTTCAGAGTGTTCAGTTTTGACTCAATACTTTGTAATTAACAGTAGCTTTGAGGCAGGGTTTCAACATTTTACAGGTTCTATCCAAGCCAGCTAGCTTCAACTCCTGGAAAATCTCTTCACCATTTGCTGCTCTCCCCCCCAGCCCATTACACCCTCTCGTACACATTACCTCTTGTTGAAGTATAGAGCAATGGATATTGGCTGCTTTTCAATTCCTCACACACATGCTCAGTCCTCAGATGTGAGCTTGGAAGGTGAGTTTTAGCAGGTTATGTGTCTGTAGAGCAACACACTCAGTCAGGCTTGATCCTGTTCTCATCCATGTCCACAAAAACAAGGAGCACTGCAAGAACAGAAAAGACTCTTACAATTTGTCTGTCAGGCTTGCTTTACATATGCCCCCCACCCCACCATATCCACTTCATTATCAAACCCTGCCCAATTTCCTCATGAAACTGTCCACACTATCCACCTTCCCCATATTAAGTCCCCTCTACTGCAGTTACCTTTGAATCTGTATTTACATTCAATGTTGGTGAGTTTGTGAACCTCTTGAACATGGTAATCGAGACAAGCTTATTTATAACGTGCATCTGTACCTATCCCACGGGCATAAGTGGGAAGTAATTTTTCTGTTTGCTGGCATTACTAGTCATTTCTTTGTGTCCTCAAGTGGAAGTAGAACCATTTCAGCTGTTTTCACTGGTGTTACGAGGGTGGGATGCCAGGGGTACCGAGGGGTGTGCTGGGGAGCTGGAGCCCTGTGGTGGGAAGGAGGGCTGAGGAGCAATCGCTGAGGCAGAGGCCACAAGACAACGACACGGGGGGGGGCTGCCAATAGGCCATCGGTGGGGGGTGGTGGAGGCATTGCTGAGTTCTCTTCATGTATTTTCTTAAAGAAAGTGTTGAGGCAAGAAGATTGTGATTGTGCGTGTGGTGATTGGTAGTTTCAGAACGTAGTGGAATGGGTCCAGCTAGGGAGAGAAATGTAGTGAGAGTTTGAGATAGTGGGACTGTATAATGAGAAGATCTGGATGAAAAAGTTAGGGTAAGCAATAGCTGCTTTGAGAAGTGTGTGATATTTGTTTTATGGTATCTGTGACCAGTCTGGGTATGATAACTGACTGACTAACTACTGGTGCGTTTCCATTCTCTGTAACTTATTTACACCTGAACCATTCAGAAATCATGAACTTTTCACACTTTCAGAAAAAAGTTACAATATTGAATCCTGCTGTCGATGGGAATTTTTGTGCTGCTGGAAAATACCCATAGTTGATCAGCAGCATCCGGAAGATATAGTAAACTAACAAAACAGTGAGATTCTGTTAATTGAATACTTAATTTGACAGTGAAATCATTCAATAAACTGAGCTATTCGTTTAACTCGTCTCCCGGAGCTTGACACGCACAGTCTCCGACCACACGGAACCGGAAAATGCTCCCCTACACAAACCAGCTGAGTCCTCACTCGTGCGACCAATTACCAGTGACATCCTGGGGACTGAGGCGAGGGGAGGGAACAGAGAAGAGGATGCCAGCGATGTTCATGCAGTACTGTAGAAGCAGTGATTTGGGACTATGTGCTTATCCAGACTCAGGTGGCTAATGGTCACGGGGAAAATTATTCAATAATCCGGTATTCAATTAACAGAACCATATTCTTAAATTAATCGTGCAAATGGTTTGCAATTTCTCATTTCTATTCAATAAATCAAACTATTTAATTATTCAATATTCAATTAATCGAATTTCACTAATAATCCTTATATTTCATATGATATGGTGCCTTATCACATGGTTATATAACTTTCATCTGGGTGTCTGAGCGTGGTGAGTCTGACAGATTGTGTGCCCTGTGGGTCTGCTGCTCTAAAGCTATTGCAGTGAAGAAGTGAGCATCTAACTGTGAATCACACTGGGTTACGATGCTAACCTGCAGCTGTGTCTTTTGAGCAATCACAGCAGCTTCTAGTGTTATACCCATGATTGTTGTCAGATCACTCCAAGTTAGGTTACCATTTCAGTAAGAAATTTTGAATGCATACTCCACAATTCGGCTACACGTTCTTGTTCTTTGACAAATGTGAAAGGTCCATGATCAATGCAACATATGCAAGTGAACTATGAATGTCTTTCACCCGAGTGAGAGAACATTACTAATGCACTGCACCATCTCACATCCAGTATTCTTACGATACATCATTTGGCTGTGGAGTGCAGATTTTCCTGAAAAAGTGAGAATTTACACAGTTGAATGATTTATCATAATATAGATTGAGAAATTGGAATTCATAATCCTTGAATTGTGTTTGACATTCATTTGCAACTTATTTTCCATCAGATACTTTAAACTTGTTGTGAATTGATCGATCCAATAACACGCGCACACACATATACACACACACAGACTCTCTCTTTCTCACACACGCATAAAGTAAGCACCACAGATTATTCTGCTCAGTGATCAGTCTTTGTTTCCTCCCTCCATATAATCTGATTGTGTGTTGTCTTTTGTGAAAGTGTTGTCCTAGTTTCTCATCTCCACATAAGAGTACTAAAGCTTGTATTAGAGTTGCTGCAGTTGCTATTTTTGCTACTCATTGACTGTTAAGACTGTAAAATTCTCAGCTCAACTTTCTCATCCATTTTGCAACCCTTTTCTTCTCTTCAGCAACTATTGAGGCTATTGAGGCTGATGAAGGTAATATTTTGGACAGTCCCCTTTCTGTTTGTTGTACAACTGATAGGGGCTGTGCTGGGTTTATACATATATATATATATTCCGTAACTTGTATACAATGTGCGGGTGTTGGGCTAACAAGCAGTTGTCTAGCACTCCTTAACACTGTCATAATATTAACCACGTTGAGGTGTGCTTGCTTTCAATGGATTTATCCTTTTGCAGTTGTGTTCTTTGTTCTTGCCAAACCACCTGTGTCTTCTGGCTGAACTGCACTGTAATATTTAGTCAGAGTTGGGCTTTACTTTTTCAAGGCCAACTGTAGTAATTTTTGTTAATCTTTCAAAATTGGCTGAAATGCTAAGCAAGAGCAAACCCAACTGCTGATTAAATAGTGGTTCTACGACTACTATTTATGCTCAATTTAAACTTTTCTCCTAACAAACTCCGATCCACAGTCCGCATCAGTGGTGGAAATTAATTTTTTTGCTTTTTTTTGTGACTTCGTGGCTTTGCCGTGTGTTGTGTTCATTACTCTCTGTGTGAATTACAGTGTTATCCTTTTGTCTGACCAGCAGCCGCAGCAGTAATTGGATTACTTTGTTGCACATGATGAATGATGCCTGAATCACCAGCTCCTTTCGCTGGGAGGTCTCCAAAATGTTACTAACTAAAAAGAGATGTGCAGTGGGACCTTTTTACAATGAAGTCGAATTGAGCTAACATTTCTGTTTGTTTGATTAATAAAAAGACATGAAATGTGACTAATAGAATAAGTGCTCCTATCTAGAAAGTGTTTGATCTACCATTTATTAAATCTCTAGTCTAAATTTTGAAAGCATTTATTCGACTTAGTTTCAGGATTACAATCTAAAATAAACAGTGACATTAACATTGTACAACACGTTGACCTGATATTATAACCAAAAATGTGAACGTGTTCCCTGTAACTGGCAGTGAACATGTGATTTAATTACTAAGAATTGCTGGATTCCATTGCAAGGAAATGGACATTATAAATGTCGTTTTATTATAAAAAGGTCTACTATAGCAATTAAAACAAGACTGATGTTAACATTAAGTTTGTTTGCTGCATGTCTTCTGGAGTAGACAAATGGAATGGTTAAGGTTCATTGTGGCTGTATTGAACATTCCTAGTGCCAAGTAAGGACCTGCATGAAGGGTCTCTTCAGAGATAGATTAACAGATGAAGTAGACTTTCCCTCAGCTCTGAGTACAGAATGTCCTTTACAGATCCTTTTAGATGAGAAATTCAATTTGCCATTAAGTGGGGTCGGGGGGTGGGGAGGAGACTACATTTCAACTTAATCACATGAAGTAAACATAAAATTATTGGAGGGGAGATTAGAGTTCGGTTTAAAACCAGCCATTGGGGAAGTGCTAAGCAAATATACATGTTCAAAGAGAAAAGAGATAAAAGTAACTAAGAGAGTCAATCTAGACTTCAGTCCTAACAGAGTGACAGAGCTCTTGAGTGAACTACAAGACAACCCACTGAGCCGGTTTTGGTGTCTGCCATTAAAGAGGATTGCGGACTCTAAGCTCGGGCTTTGAGAAAGAAAAAGAAGAATATAGTCATTGCTTGAACAATCCAGGCACATGCTCTTAATCCATGTAGCAGTATAATCGCTTGCCTCTGATGCATATCCATTCGTGTCAACAGAACTGAACTAAAATCGATCAGAAGTGTGCTTAGGTAACTAGTATGTGATGTCTTTCTCCCAATTAGATATCCACTTTTCTCATTATATAGAATATTTTCTGTAGAGGGGTGGATTATCTGCTTACGAGTCCAGTGGGTCAATGTTTGAATTGAGAAGTTAATATACAAACCTGCCCAGAAATTGTGAATGCATACGCCACAATGTGCTAACCAAAAACCTGTATTGAGTGTCAAACGTATTGCTTTAAAAAAAGGCACGATTTGCCTGACTGTGTTTCATTTTTCTCTTCTCTCACTGCCCCCTCCCATCCCCGTCTCTCTTCCCTTCTGTTCACATCGTACTGAAACCTCCATTCAGCTATCCGAGGTTTCTCGCCTCAACATAGGATCAGCAGCTTTGAAGAAGCTAAAGGTCTGGATCGTATCAACGAGAGGATGCCCCCTCGCAGAGATGGCATGCCCAGTGATGGCAGCCTGAACTCCATCAACAAGGCAGTCTCCACAGAGACTAATGGCACTGACAGCAGTAACATTCAGTGATCCTTTGCAGTTTCCAGTTCCAAGGCATGATTGTATTGTTGCCACATAAGCGGTTTGACATTCTTGCCTCTGATTACTGCTGCATGCTCTGGGAGCCACGTGTTGGACGACAGATTACAGTAACAGAGTGATAGTCAGAAATTGTATTGTGATTGTTGACAGTTGAGTTACCTCAGATGGATTATGCCTTTGGTGCTTCTAGACAAGCAAAAGTTAATGCTGGTTAAATATTACACATTAGATGAATCAAAACATTTTCCTTTTGCATTGAGGGAACTTACAGATCTGTTTTGAAAGGCCTTTACTATACTGGATATGGGAACTTTGTCTAGTAAACTCTTTACTCTTCTAGTGTATGTTTACGATTGCAGCACTAAAAGTTTGACATATTTTAAAAAAAAATGAAATTATGAGGTTGTACAAACTAAATAATAGCTGAGATATGGACTATTTATTAACAACATTTTTTGCTACTCTGGTAAGAGAGATGAAACAAATTAGGCAGTCTTAAAAAAGTTGAAAAATCATTAAAATGCCAAAAATCTAATTTGGTTTTGTACAAATTATGCTTACCTCAGGTTTATTTAGTGTGCTTGGTTGCTACCAGTTATGTATTTACAGTTAGCTTACTCACTTGGTAGTCGATAGCCTTTCCAAAAACAAATTATAACTGGAAATTTATTTATAACATTTATCATTCATTTTACTATTCTACTTCATTCGCATTGACTTGGTTGTGGCTTGCTGGAATTGTATATTAATGAGTGACGCATTTTTTTAAATTTTATTTTATCTATGAAAAACAAGACATACCATATAAAATGCAGTGGATAGCATCTGTAGTCTGTAAAACTGGCCTATGCATGTTTTTTTTCCAATTTACGGCTGTACTAGCCTATATGGGACTGTAATGCGCTTAGTGATCTGACATATACTGGAAATGTAATGTATACTGGCATACTTTATATTCACTGTATGAAATTGCTTAATGCCTTTTGAATTTTTGTAATGAAAAAAAACCTTGAAATTACTCAGACAGGGAGTGGAACCTTAGAAAAGTTTTTTAAGTACATAAGTGCAAACTTAGAAGGTTAGCATGTTTAGCAGACATTGTGGAATTAAAATCGACTTGTGGGTACATGTAAAACGCTAGATGCATGATACTGTTTATGTCACAATGGTTGTCTTTTTTTTGTTCTGTTCCGTGCCACAAAACATTTAGTGTATTTTCACCTCTTTGCTGTGTATATCAGTTACGGGTTTGATACTATGGTTAAAAACTGGTCCATAATGGAAGCTCCATTGATCTTTTTTTAACAACTGTAAATGTGCCCAAGTAATTCACTACAACCTGAATGCCTTGCCTTTGTAATTTGACCTCTGAAATGTCAGCAGTTTAAGCATGCACTTGTAACAATGAGGAAGTATTTTATATTACTATTTCAATAAAACATGCATGAACTTACTGGTGTCTGTTTGTGTGCTTTCGCAGTTTCATTGTGCTTTTGTTTGAATTTGACTTAAATCACTTTCCAAATCTAACAATGTAAAATACCCATGAACTAATGAGGATTTGCAGTGAGCTCCCAGATATGGTATAACTCTATACCCAATTAATCACATTAAAACAAGTTCAAACAGCAGGAGACTATTGGACCATCTAGCCAACCCTTCTGACTTCCCACAAGTTGATAATCTGCGCCTTTCACATCAGGCCTTTCTCAAAGTGCTTCACAGGATAAAGTGTAGTGGCTGTGTATTTTATGGGTGAACGTGGCAGCAAACTTGCACACAGCAATGTCCCATGAATGAATGACCAGTTTTATTTGGGGGATTGTTGGACAGGTCACAGGGAGAAACTCCCTTCTCTTTTCAAGTAGTGCCATTGGATCTTTAACATCCATCTGAAGAGGCACAGTTTAATATCACATCTGAAGGGCAGCACTCCCACTATGCAGCACTTTCCCAGTACTGTGTTGGAGTGTCAGCATAGACTATGAGTTCCAAGTCCTGATGTGGGGCTTGTACCTACACCTTCTGACTCAGAGGCAATAATAATAATAATCCTTGCCTTTGATATAGCGTCTTATCATGTCTTCAAGATGTCTCAAAGCGCTTCACAGAATATACTGTAAACTGAATTGACTATATTTTGTGGGTGAGCACTCTTAAGATTTCTTTGATGTACCTAATTTAGCACCCTAAGCATGTGATGGTTATTATAAAACACTTCCAAAATGTAGAAAATGAAATAAAATAGCTGTGAAATTATAGACTTGTCAATATCTAGAGACTCAGAAGTTAACTGACCGTGAGGTAGAAAGCCACTAAGTGGTTAGAAGATAAATCAAATCATTAAGTACATAATTGGTTCTCAAATATGTATTGTTAAATAGGGTCATTGTGGTGCATAATTGAAATTGGTAGATTAATAAAAGATGCATTTGGTATGAATACAACTCATTATTGGGTAAATTAACCAATAAATCTGTCTGCTCTCTATTTCGTTTAAGGAGAAGGACAAGGATTCTGTTTAAACGTGTGGCATCATAGTAAACCATTTCCACTAAAGTGCTAAACATTCTACTTAGTGTTTCAAAACATTTTATACCTTTTCCAATAAAATTATTACATTATTCTTCTCCCTTTGTGTGCAGAATTTAGTTCTGTTCACATTCAGATATGGTGGTCCACTGTAACAATATACTTGTCCCTACTACTGTAAAGCACTCACATTATTCTACGTGAAGTGTGCTATACAAATGCAAATTATTATTCAATGCTATATCTATCAATACCTTTTTTGAAGAAGAAACCTTTGTAGAGGATAAAGTGGAGATGATGGCTGCAGTCACATTGGAACCAAAAGAGTGTGATACCAACCAGGTGAATGAAGGAAGAGAGGTAATCGAGGAAGATTGAGTGATCATCTGTGTCAAAAGCAACAAAGAGGTCAAGAAGGCAGAGAGAGAGTATGTAATTATGACTTTGATAAAGACTGTCTAAATTCTGTGGGCAGGGCAGGGCGAAAGCTGGATTGGAGGGGCTCGAGCAGGGGAAAGGTGTTTGTGGAGTTGATTGGAAAAAAACATTCCAAGACTTTCAAATAGGAAGGACAGATTGGTAATGGGTTAATAATTTAGGGTTTGGAGCTAATCCAGGGTAGGTTTTCATGGGGGAGGTGGGCCTGATGATGGCAGTTTTGAAGGGGACATGGACAGAGCCAGAAGAGAGGGTCATGTTGAATATATCTGCCAGTGGGTAAGAGAGATGGAGAATTGGGGAATGGGGGGCTGATGGCAGAAAGGTGGAGAATGGAGGGGGCTGACTTAGCTACACCCCTCAGCCACACTGACTGCCCCATCTCCCATTTCTGCCACAATGCCCACTGGTCCTAGCTCCCAGAGGCAAACCTCTCCTCCCTCATCCCACCCTCCCTGCCAATCCTCCCACTTATCCTGCACATTCCTGTCAACTGTCCCCTCTGCATTTCCCTACACAATGTCTGCTCCCTTTCCAACAAAGTCCTCACCATCCAAGACCTCATTGTTGATGGAAACATTAATATGCTTGCTCTCACAAAAACCTGGATCACCCCAGGTGATACCTTCCCCCTGACTGAGGCCACACCACCCGGTGGCCTTCCATCATATCCTACAAACCAACTGCCTGTCCCCTTAGTGCTCCGGATCCTTCCCCGACTTTGAGCACCTTACCCTCTACCTTCCCTCCAAACTTTCCCTTAAAATTCTCCTCATTTAGCACCTCCTAAATCCTTCCCCACCTTCCTCTCTGACATCTCCACCCTTCTCTGCCTCTGTTCCGACACCTCCTCATCTTGGGAAACTTTAATCTCGACATCACCCCTTCTAGCTCTACTTCCTCTGACTTCTCCTCCCTCCTCTCTTCTCACATCATCTCTGCCACCCACGTCCATGGCCACCAGCTTCATCTGGTGATAACCTGGGGCCTCAGTGTCTCGGACCTCAGCATCACCAATAAAGCCATCTCGGACCATTACTTCATTTCCCTTAACTCCTTAATCCCTTTCCCCACCGCCACCCAACCCACCTCCATATCCTACCACCTTGGGAAAAAAATCTTCCCACCCTTCCCTCTCCATTGCCCTGAGTCATCTGAACTCCTCCCACTCTGCGCTACCTCCCACAATGACTCTCCTGCACAACTTCCTCTCCGCCACCCTTGATGCCCTTGCCCCTCTCACCTCCTGAACTGCCGACTACTCACGCAATTCACCCTGGTACACCAGCTACCTCCGCTCCCTCAAGGCATAGGTGCATGTTACCGCACCCACCTGGCTCAAATCTAAACTAAAGGTCCATTGTCAGATGTGTCTGGACTACATCGAGAGCTACCATTCTGCCCTCACCTCTGCTAAATTGTCCTTCTACGCCAAGATAATCTCCAAGGACAACCCCAGGCTCCTCTTCACCACAAACCGGCTCCTCTGTCCACTCTCTAATGCATCACCCATCCTTTCCTCCAACTCCAACTGCAAGGAGATGCTGGACTCCTTCAAGTCCAAAAACAAGGAGATCCATTCACTGTCTCTGCCCTTTCTACCGCTATCCATTTCCCCAAACACTCCACCGACCTTTCTCTTCGACGGTGCCTTTGGTCACCCTCCCTGCTCTCCACCCCTCCTGATCACAACCCCCAGCGAGGGTCCAAATCCCTGACTGTCCAGCTCCTTGGGACGTCGTCCCGATGTGAAATGCCTATACAAATCTAATTTGTTGTTGTTGGAGGCAGAGTACATTGTGGCTTTGAAGGGAGAAATAGATAGGTATATGAAAGATAGAGGTTTGAAACAACTTGGCGATAAAGCAGTGGGATTAAATGAACAGTTTGCTCTGGGAGGCAGTGCTCTCGCTGGGCTGGATGGCCTTCTTCTGTGCTGTAAATTTCTATCATTCTATCAGCTCGTGGCACATAAACAAGGACAGAGAGCTGAGTGAGAAACGGGGTCTGCTCAATAATTCGTTTGCAAGAAAAACTTCAATAACTAGAGTTTACAGTTAATCCTGTAAGGAACTTTTGAGATATCCTCCCAATCTGAAAGGTGTCATATCAAATGCAAAGATTTGGATGTCTGCCTGACTTAGTTGCTGTGGGGGTGTGGAGGATAACAAGCTTCTCTTGGACCTGAACTGGTTCTAAGATGATATGCTTCTTAACAGAATGTAGGAATCAAATCAACCCCCTGTGGCAGTGTTGGTTGTTCGGTTCGTGAACCAAGTAGGTCTGCAGTAATAATAATAATCCTTGCATTTGATATAGCGCCTTATCACATCTTCAAGATGTCTCAATGTATTGTATAGCTTCACAGAATATACTGCAAGTGAATTACCCATAAATTTTGTGGACAAAATGCGGCAGCCAATTGCACACGGCAGTGTCCCGCAAACAGTCGTTGATTGAGTGACCAATTTATTATTATTATTATTTTTGAAGGAATTATTATCCCAAGAAAAATGATCTGCCAATTGACTAACAACCGGGTTCCTACTTATTGCTAGGTAAACAGAAGGGTGTGGCATAAGGAAACTTGCCAAACGTTTCGCCCTGCCGGCAAAGGAACCCAGATCTCTCGCTTGTGAGGTGAGTGTTCTAACCACTAAGCTACAGTACTCAGGCACTGCTAGTGACCGGCCAGCCAGCCTGCCTCAGGGGTAGGAATTGGAGGGGCAGATCAGTACCTGGGGTTAAGGATATGCACATTCCATTTCAATACACAGGAATTTCCAAGTGTACGTAGGATGCATGGAATTCTCATTTTGCTTTGGATATTCTTAAGCTTTATCTTATCCTTACTCTTAAGGTTTCTGCAAGTCAGACACCTGGCTGACCAAAATATAAATAAAATGAATAATAATAATATAATAGAATATAAATAAAATAAAACTTCAGGTTTTGGACACCAGATGATCAAGCTCACAGAGGCCAACTTATTTAACAATTTATTAACAGTACAGTGGAAGCCACTTAAGCCGGACACATCGGGGACAGGCAGTTTGTCTGGTATACGCGGAGTCCGAGGTTAACCAAAGTTCTCTTACCTCTTCCCTCCCATTGACATTTCCATTGGACCAATTAGTGGCGACCCCAAGGTGATTGAATACCTGGAGTCCTCCATCCATTCACAAGTGGCTCCAGCAATCGATCACAATTTAACTCCTCCCATTCCCTCCCTTGATTCTGCCCCATTCCTCTGTACCTTCATTGAGCCTCTTGTGAATGGCTGGAGTTCTCTGTCAATCAGTCGCAATTTGATTCCTCCCATCTCCATCCCAGCGCCACCTCGAGACAGAGTAAGTTAGATGCAGCGATGACCAGCACGGCATTTTGTCTGGATTAACCGACATCCATGATTAGCTGGTATACTTAAAATAGCTGGGAATACAAATGAATCTGGACCGGGCGTTTTATCTGATTTACCCGGCG